AGAAGTAAGTGATCACCGCCGCCCATGTACATTACATCTGCAACTGCAAACATCTGGTTGTATTTTCAGGTACGGATTCTAAGGAAGAGAAAAGGTGCTATTGTCACGTCTACCTCATATTTGTATATAATATCGTTGGTTATAGCCGGGTGGGAGTTGACTTCAATATGTGGTTGGTGCATACAAACTTGATCATGTTAGAATGCGTATTATTTTTGACATGGGCTCTTGACGCAGCTAAATTGGTGGAAAAATACATTTACATTCATCATTTAAATCAGTAAATACTAATGTATTATGAAAATGGCTTACGTAAGTAGGATCTCTACTGTATAACTAGGAAAAGGTACAAAAACCTAAAGTACGGCACATATCCTATCGCGTCCGCAATGTGTCTGTCATGTAGACCATAGATAAAACATAAAAGGGTTACTTTTTATATGCCCACTTTTTTATAAAGCCGCTAAGCTCTATCATATTTCACAGACAAAAACGAGTATTTCTTACGTCATATCTCGGATCCCTTTTCTACGAAATAAACGGGGTAAATTTTTCACGTCATCTGATTCAAAGAGCATACACCAAATGATAGAAGTTGTTAAAGCAATTTTTATTCTAATTCTAGTTACATAGAAAAATATGATTTTGATGTATAAGGTAAAAATAAGAAAGGTTACGTTAAAATGTATTCATATTTATCACCTGTTTAACATTATTACAGATAAAATCTAATAAAAGGAGCGCGATATTTTCCAACATGCATCTTTAGAATCCAAAACGCATCTAATCCCACAGATTGAAGATTTTTCAATCACACAATAGAGGTATAAATATGACTTGTACTACATAAAATTTAATAGTGTGAACCTATATGGACCTTTTATATACAGACGATTCAAAAGTATTTTTAATTGAACGATCGCAATGAATGCATTAACTGAAGTGGGTCGTTAGTGAACAAAATGGAAGGATCGAATCCTTTTACCTCAATTGTAAAACCATTACGTGTGTGCAGTTCATCATAACTTCTGCGCGGTTAACTGAGTTTAACAAAAGCAATTAATTTTTCTTTTTACTTTTTGAAATATTGTCATTGATATATTTGTCGGTGTCGCATTGTCGACACTATTTAAACTATAGAAATATCGCTTTAGGACACGATTTAAACTAAAGGACTCTGATTATTAGATCTAAGTTAATAAGTGAAACAAGAAATAAAGTATTATTCCAACGAGTGCAGTGCACGAATGTCGCTTCAGTATTCGCCAGTTACATAGGATGATGGAGGGAAGTTAGAAAAGAAGTTAGAACGCTTGGTGGCGTGATCTGCGACTCAAGACGAGGATATTTTTTGACAATGACTACCACATTGTCAACAATTTCTGTTTTTAGGTCATAGAATGGCATTTCTTATTGAAAAACAAAAAGTTTGTTTTTATTTCAATAAAAAATTATACTACCGAGTCTGCACCTCCTGTGTGTATTTGGGCACCTTCAGAAAATCCACCCTGTATAGTAATAAAAATGCTACATTTGTCACTTACTTATGAAGGAAAATTTTCACAAAGTAGTACAAATTATAAGCGTCTATACTTCCAGACGTTTTTGGAGCTATCGAAACGCGAGTTATGTTGGACCCATTTCTTCGTTTCAGTACATTCAGCTGAAAGTAATTTCGGACAGAATTTGTAACACGAGAACATTTATATTCAAGAAAGATTTGTTAGAATGCGTTCCATCGATAAAATGTTCTTTATATAAAAATTCAGAAATCGTCCTTATGAAAATGTCTACGGCAACTCAAAGGCTGCGTTAGCGTTGCCTCAAAGGCGTTATTAACATTCTCGTCGATAGCAGAAAGCAACGATAACGGCATTTTAATATACCCCCTGTGAGTTGTTTTAAAAGATTGACGTAAATTAATTTCGCCTCGCTGAAGCGAACGTATGAAGTAAATGAGCTTTTATGTCATGTAAAATCGGACATTGTTTATATTAATAACAAAATTCAAAAGATTGTTATCTTTTAGCCAAAACACAGATATCAATAAGATATTTTAGAAAATTAAATTTTAAAATGTTTCCAAAATATGAATAGATAGTAAACTATTGTTTCTCCCCGTACAATCAGTGAGACTAAATAAAATTTGGTTAGCGTTACCCATCTCTTTCTACCGTGATAGTTACTCGTACTTACAACAGTTGATAGTAGTAATGTATATTAAAAGCACATTTTACTTTCGACTTTGACACTTTCCAAGTACATTCTGGAATTATTTTGTTTTCTTAGAACTTTTCTATTTTGGTGAAACATCGATACAAGAGGAAAACCAAGTTTGATGGATTGTTTATCCAGCGAAGTCTCAAAAGACATTAAGATAAAGACTTCGGAAACATTTTCCTTTCATCTTTTGTTATTTGTAATTCCGTTTTAAGTCCCCTGTAAAAAGTTCTCTTCACTAGGCATATATCAGACCAGACAAGTGTTAGTATCCCCAGCTGGAAATTTATACCATAGGAAAATATCATATATGGTCAAAGTAATTTAATGTTCTTGGTTAAAGTTAAACGTATCATTCATTACTTGTTATAAAAATGGCTTATGTTAAAACTATGTTTAACATAAAATTCCCTGTAAATGTAATAGTTTCAAGGGTCTCAAAAATATCATATATCTGCGTAGTTCAGATAGAAAGTAGCGCGCTCTCGGGCAATTGTGCACGAAATGCTGTCAAATCACTTCAATTAAGCAGAGTATCTCAGTTTGTATTTCATTTGAACACACTCGCCATGAAATTCACCAAATTTACTTAATATTACACTTATTACTTGTTAAAGACCAAGGAAGTCTTTTAAACAATGGTTGTGTACACTATGAGGTTTATAAATAAAGCGGCTGAACCGTATTGTCGTCTTTTCATGTATATATTGCACTCAACTTTTTGGTGACATAACTTACATCTGAAGTAAATATTATAGTAAGTAACCGTAATCTGTTCCATATAAAAACAACAAGGTCGATATTCCAATGTAGTATAACTTGTTTAACACATTTGGTAGGATACCATGTAAATACTTCGATATCCACACATGAACGGGAATTTAAGTTGTAACACTGTTTTCTGTATTGCGCTGTGTAGAAACTATGGTACCCGAAAGATGCTTTATATTTATATTTTATTTCGTAGACCAGAATTTTAGACGGAGAAAGGACATAATAGCTAAATCGATTTATCGGCCCGATAAAGCATTTCTCGGCAAGTAAAGTGTCAAGGTAGCGCTATCTACTGGTTTCATTCAAATATATAACTACATTGTATATATATTTCATTGTATTTATTATTTATATGTATAAATATTGTATATTATATTGGAAAGTAAAGAAAAGACAATTTTAGGGAAAGCTTTGAAATAAATGTTGAAAATGATCCATTTAGTCCTAAAGTAGGGTTTTATGAACATTTGTTTACATTTAAAGTCTAAGCGTTATTAAGAGGCCGTTAAGTTCACTATATAATAGTGATAATATTGACGTTTCTTTAAAATTATTACTTATTATAAAATATATGTAAAAAGTAAGAAAAAGGGAAGTGGGCCCGCGTGGTGGACTATGCCCTAATACCCTCTTTACAGAGGAGGCTTTTGCTCAGCAGTGGGACATTTACAGGCTGTTACTTTACTTTACTACTTTTAAGAAAACCTGTATCATATCGCTGCAGGCGACAGGCCTTATCTACACTAAGGGATGAGGATACCACTGCCGTATGGTATGTAGTGACGTGGATTCTAGTTCCATATACCTGTGAAATGTATTTATTCGCAGCATTCGTACGAGTCTAAACGAGTATTGCACAAATATTTCTTTAGCTATAAAATAAATTATTGGAAATTCATCAGCGTCAACAGAGAAACTACTATTAATTGCAATTGCAGTTTGAGGTATGACAAAAGACTATATTAAGAACCAAAACACGCGTATTGTCTTAAAGCTCATAATTTTAATCTTAGCACGGGTCCCAGCTTTAAGCATAAGATTACACCTTGTTTCGTAAACTGCCTGTTATAAATGGTAATGGCTCCCAAAATTGCGAGATCGGATTAAATTCACGAACCGCATTTGTACGATATTTGTTAGCGGCTTACATAAATGATCACCGGAAGTTTAACCTAATTATATGATAATTAGAAATATATATTTCGGCGATTAATTTTCAGGTGCCTATTTATGTTGCTTTATAATTAATTTTTATGTTTTTTTTTTGCTTCAGTTAGGTAAAGTTACAGCCGATGATATCCGCAAGCCTCTTTAAGGTCTGTATCGAGATTGATCAGGCACAGTCCAATCAATTGCGGATTGGCAGATTTCCATCGTCAGCCCGGGGCCTGGTGAGAAACTGTGTCAGGTACAAGTATTACAATAAATTATTTATATTTATTGACATTATACAATGCAGTTATGCACAATTATAAATATATCAAAATGTACTAAAATGTATTTATACATAAAAAATGTTAAGGACAAATACACACATATATATATATATATATATATATATATATATATATATATATGTGTATATATATATATATATATATATATATATATATATTTATGTCCTTATTATATACGAGTATGTATGTAATCATGGAAAAGATAACATCAACATTCTATAGTATTAATGGCAAATGAAATTTTGCAAGTTCCACACTTCTGTTATCCGTCATTCACTCACACGTAAATGTTTTGAAATGTTAGTCACGTCATTCTACAAATTTTATAGAGGGTCCATAGCATTTTTATTATTTTTATTACAGTCAGACGTGCCGGCCCTTAACATTTAAACTAAAATATGTTGGGCAATTTCATACGTTTTATTTCAATACATTGTGAAGCAAAATATTTTTACGATAAATGATTGTCACAGATGTGTTGTTTCGACTGGCGTTCATTTGAGACCATAATGCGCAAGCGTGTTGTATTAATTAACTAATGCTCGTTTACAAATTAGCGTTTATCCATGTCCAGAAAGCTGTCACGCGACTGTATACTGATGGGTAACCTCTTTGGCATCCGTTGCCAAGGCCGAAAGACACGATGCCAACCTGCAACAGCGAATGGCGGGGTATTTGTACATGTATTTTGTGTGGAAGCGGTTGGGTAGAGAGTCCCAACGATAATTGCGACTTAGGAGATATATTGTAGTCTTCCTTTCATAAACATTGCTCCTTCATCATCATCATCATCTTCAACATTTCAGCCTGTTTGAGTCCACTGCTGACTCAGGCCTCCTTCACTTCCCCTTGCTGTTGGATAACATTATCCTGTTTTGTGAGGACGTTTTAGGTACATAAATTTCACTTCGACATATATCCAAATTTTATTATGTGCCTATTTATGTGCCGGTAATACTAACAGTTGTTTCGTTTGCGAATCGAACTCACTACTCATATCGCCGAAGCCAATACCTTGGCAACTGCGCCATGGAGTCATAAATAGTGACGTAACAACTGTGACAAAAAATCTTTCTTGTAACATTCCATGGAAAAAAGCTGGAACCTTTTTTTATTAAACTTAATGTTGTTTTTTTTATTTATTTAATCAAAAATAATGTACAAATTATTTATATATATGTAGATATATTATTTGAAGTAAGAAATAAAACTGGACTATCTAACATTTTATGTTTCCAGCAAATAAAAATTCTGATAAGCCTTTTTCTTTTTCTTAACACGCATATTGACTTTGCGACTTTGATCACGTACTTTGCGCAAATAAAAAAAAATCACGAAAGCTAATTCAAAATTCAAAACCCGCAACTCATTGTAAGTAAAATGAAAAAAAAAAAAAAAATTGCCTAAACCGCTTACAACATGATTCACAGATGGGATGACGGCAGGAGGATGATGATGACATAGTACTGTTTCAGAGTTTGTTTGTTAGATTGAGGTGTGACACCAAAAACAAAAATAACTTCCGTACCAAAATGCGTCGATTACGCCATACGACGGTCAGTGGACCGCCAGAGTCGCCGTCGCAGGTTCCAACACCCCTTGCACCATCCGTGCACAAGTGGGAACCGTGAATCGGTACATTGAAGCTCTTCTGGCATACAGAATTGGCAATAATGCTGACTGAAACGTGGTGCAGTGTCGTTGTGGTCGGAAAACTGCTCTGTGCTAGAAAAGAAACAAAGGAATGTGCGAAAATTCAGTCAATCAATACAAGCCTTATTCTTCTTTTTCTAATAAGCTGTAGGATAACATTATCCTGTGTTGTAAGGACGTTTTATGAACATACTAGCTGCTGCCCGCGACTACGTCTACGTAGAATACGCTGAAGGCTTAACATTTAGACAGAAAGACAGATATACAAAAAATATATATAAAAATTGTAGCCTATATGCTATTCTGATGTATAAGCTATATTATTGTAAAGTTTAATTAAAATCCATTTAGTTTTTGCTTGAAAGAGTAAAAAACATCCATCCATACATACAAACTTTCGCCTTTATAATAATAGTAAGGATATTTCACGTGCTCAATATAAATTTATATTAAACGAAGAATGAAGGGATTCATAGATAAAAGATAAGTGAAGCATGTAATCAGAGTTCCAAGTAATGAGCTTTTACCAGTTTTTTAAAACGAAAATCAGGCTCGTTGAATGAATTAAGAATGTCTTTAAAGAGTACGTGTTTCATTATAATGTATGTGTACTTGAAAAGCAAGTTTCTGTGCCAATTCTGCTTTCTTTTATACTCACCGTCACTGGTTTTTCCGTAGCCGGAAGCGGTACCTGTTAAGCCAGCGAAGTTTTCGTTGACCTCTGATATTGTCGGCAGCGGAATGGACTGAATTTCATCTAGGAATAAAAGAAGTTGAACCGTGAGCAAAAGGCAAAAAAAAATACTGAAACGTTGGTATTAATAGGTTATTTACTAGTGTTATATACGTATGTACATATATTTATGTAAGTTCGTTTTGACAAAATCAATAAAGCCAAGCACGAAGTTTCTTCACTGCAAGGATCATCATATAAGTCTTCTATATCTTAGTTCTTCATATCGTCATAAGGTACAACGTCCTCATCGACCCGGTCGAGGAAGGGGACTTAAGTACGTCGGACCCACCGTCGGGGGTCCCGCCAAATAACACTACACACTCAGTTAGTGCATTAACAAACACCATACGTTGGTCCTCGCCTTCGAGTGCGGCGAAACCACCAGAACGAGTACATTAGAAACACCCGCATTGCAGGGCGGTTCTCACCGCCCCCAGTCACCGACTAAACAAGCACGGTCAATGGCCATCGGGGTCACGCTCTGCACCGAACCTCGATGTCCCGCATGCCATAATTAATGCACGCATCTGCGGAGTACATGCGCGGCCCTACCTACTGAGGAGGGCCTCAAACCCGTGGGTTCTGGCTAGCCCACCGGTTCTGCGTTCGGTGAAGCTTTAATAGTCTAAAGACTGAAAGCGTAACATCAGTTCTACAAAAAAAAGAAGGATTTTTTTCAGTCACCCACACGAAGCATTTGCATTTGTACGAATTAATGTCGCAATAACAATTGGCAAGAAAGGGCATTATTTAGGTACATTAAATTGTTCACACATTTATGGTCGTTTCGAAGAATAATAAATTAGAGCAATGCTATTCTACTATTACAATCTACGGCTCACTTACTATTAAAATCTACGGCAGGAATTTTCACCACAGCAATATCGTGAGTTATCTCATTAGTATTCCATGACGGGTGTGTTACGACCTCCGTCGTTTCGACTCTCACTCCGCCAGAGAAGATTCTGAGCGAGCCAAGAACGATAGTGAATCTCCGCGCTTGACTCTGTCCATCCCACCAACAGTGGGCTGCGGTGAGTATCCTGCTGTTAGAAATCAAAGCCCCACCGCAAATTGATGTCCATCCCGTGGTGAGAGTGGCTATTATACCAGCCTGAAAAGTGGTTGAGTTTTTAGAATGAATTTAACAAATTTCGGTGATGTTTCCCCAACAGCAGAATTTATTATAATGTCTTTACTCCAACTGGAAACTTGTGACTTGCGAGCCGATTCAGACCTCAGACCAAAGATTTTTCTAAGTGAGGAGGTGGCGGTTCACCTGATGCTAAGTGATAACCGCCGCCCATGGACATTTGCAACATCCGTAGGGTTGCAGATGCATTGACAACTTATAAAGTGGGCCCCAGGCTATCTATATAACACTATATACATAGTATAACATAGTATAACACTTTCAATCCACGCTGGTTTTATGTGAGGGGATTGATACTTACCCAGACGGACCTGCCAGTTCGTGCAACAGTGCAGACAATTGCGCGGCCCACAATTGCTAGTTATGTGAGATGGAATATACAGTTACTTCATAGTCAATATCAATATTATTTTGTTTCGTATTGTTGTAAACGTCATAATTTGGTATAGTCTTTAAAATTGTTAACCAATTTAACCCAGAAGAAGCAAGAGACAGTTGTCACATAAAGAGTTTATCACTGGCGTTCAAGAGCAGAGCATTAGTCATCTCTCCACTCATCTTGGTATTCAGTGTATTCGATTCGGTTTGTATTTTCGAAATCGGCTACTTACTTGATAAGGAAATGATGAATGTGTCACCGCTTGTGAGCCTCCGACGATCCGCGATTGCTCCTCTGACAGAAATATATCCATAGCTCGGGGTATTCCCACTGATACATGATAGCCGANAAACCGGTTCACACTTGACGTTAATGATTGCGAATAACAAGAATATGATGAAAACTTTAGTCAAATGCATTTGTAAACGGCGTCGTGAAATCACTCAACGGCAATTAGCGAGGTGATATTATTCTGATCTTCTGATATGCGTATAATGCGATCGCTAAATGATATCTTTGTTATATTCCGATAAATGTTTTTATCGTCTGATACGGTTAAGAACTAATAGTGCAATAGATGGGTGAACGTTATCATCTATTAGAAATTAAATGTACATGTAATGTAAGCAAATCAATGTTGCCTCATCATTAATATTTTTAAATTTATTGTTTATCAATATTATTGATAGAAAGGGGTGGAACATCGGCTCACCAACTGAACTTAACTAATTTCAATTTTGTTTGAAAAGTGGTACACAAATGTTAATTTAAATTAGCTGGAATCGCACAAGTGCAAGAGTTCACAAAAATAAAATTTGTAAACGATTATTATATGTATCTTGTATTCATTATTATTAACGTAAAGACGATAGAATGGCAAATACACATTTGCCAAAGAAATTCAATTCGAGAATAAGTCATGCCACTAATGATCGAGACCACATATTGCTTTCTCGATAAAAAACATACTGCTTTTGATTGGCTACCCGTTTAATCCAATAGACTGGGCTGTGCGGAAAATTAAAACGCCTTGGACGTAAAATCCGTTTGTGTTAATACTGTTTAATTATTGCAATGTGGATTGCGAAATCAATTCAGTTGATAAATTCAAAAAAATTGTAAAGGAACGTTTGTGTGCTAGAGGCTATTATAGCATTAGTGATTATTTAAATGATAACACACTCTGGAAATGAATTGAGCGCTCCAGGCTCTTTCAAGTGGAATTGAATATAAATATAAATAAATGTTTTAGTACACATTTTACACAACGTTTTCTATTTTTATTTATTTTTTATGTGAAAAGTTGCCAAGCGAGCAGACGATTCACCTGATGTTAAGTGAATACCGCCGCCCATGGACATCTGCTACACCCGAGGGTTCCAGATGCGTTTACATCCTTTTGAAAATTGGGCTCCGGCCACCTCACTCACCAGACGAAACGCGAAAGTATTATACTTCCCCACTTTACGCCGGTCTTCTGTGAGGTCGTGGTACTTACCCGGACGTGCCTGGCCAGCCGAGGCTGCTGCGTGGCCCTACCACCGTGAAGTTCTAGTCCCAAACTAAGCAATGCTTGTACTATGGATACTAGATGACTGATAATCATACTTTTCTTTTGTAAATAAATACATATTATAATTATACAAACACCCAGACACTGGAAAAATAACTAAATAAAAGTTCATCACACAATACTTTTCCAGTAGTGGGGATCGAACCCACACCCTCTGGCGCAAGAGGCAGAGTCACTACCCATAACACCAATCGGGTCGTCAATATATTGTATAAATGTTTGTTATATTTGGCAAATTATGTTTAAAAAAATTGTTTCGCTGAGTTTCTGTCATCGGTTTTCTCAGGGTCAGTGGCTTTTTTTCTGAACCGGTGTTTTTTGACAATCAATAATTTAGAGTAATTCATTAGTATTAGTAGTACCTTCTATATTGACTAAAGATATTTGAATTTGTATTAAAACAGTAAAATAAAGGGAATATTCATCAATATATGTATTTGATATGATTCCTTAAATTATTTTGAGATTTGGTTTATTCATTTAGTTTTATTTTGTTTCCTTCAAAATTATCGTACATTAAATACAGAATTTAGGAATTCTCATTACATTAAATAATCACTAATGCTACAATAGCCTCTAGCACACAAACGTTCCTTTACAAGTTTTTTGAATTTATCAACTGAATTGATTTCGCAATTCACATTGCAATAATTAAAACAGTAGGTATGAGTGAAGTAGAGAATACATAGTGTATAAAATTAGTAAATCACTTAAAATAGTAACTCTTAGCAAATAGGATGGTTTTAATATTTAGCTGTCAGAAATGTTGATAAAAGGTTTTTGCAAAAGATTTCAATACTTTACTCAGAGTACTATACAGTGAGTAGCTTCTTTTATTACCTTGGTTTTTTAGGTTTCGGTATCTAAAGGGTAAAATGGGACCCTACTACTAAAACTCCTCTGCCTGTCTGTCTGTCCGTCTGTCACCAGGCTGTATCTCGTAAACCGAGATGGTAAGAGAGTTGAAATTTTTACAGACGATGTTTTTCTGTTGCCGCTATAATAACAAGCACAAAAAATATTTAAGTGGGGCTCTGATACATTAGACACGATTTTTTTTGCCCTTTTTATAAATAATGTTACGGAACGATTCGTGCACGAGTCCGACTCGCACTTGGGCGGTTTTAAATTGTTTTCAAGACTAATTACCACTATCATTGATGACTAGTTTGTATGAAGATTTTATTTTAGGATCTCAACAGTTTTCATTGATTTCACGTAAGCTTGATCGAGTTTAAAGTTAGTAGAGATCATAACATGCCTTTTTCAATTTTATAGTATGAGAGATGCGTTTACACGCATCTCTCATACTATAAAATTTACTATTTCTCGAAGGAATTTTACTATTTTATAAAATTACTATTCTCGAAGGAATTTTACTATTTGACATCCGAAATATGCTTTATTCATCTCACATTAAAATAAACCTTATCTAGAAATAAAAAAATGAAACAAGACTGTTAAAATAGATTACAACAGTTCTAATGTGATTCAATTAAATATTAATTCTGTTAAATCATTTTTTTAAACCGGCGTGCTGACAAAATTGGAAGCAACAGTAAAACAAGATAAAGTTGGTTTATATAACGACTATCTTTAAGTAATATTTATACGAACTGACTTATTAAATGGGATAAAGATATATGTAAGTACATAAATAACGGACATAAAAGATGAATAGAGTGGTAAGAGAATAGCCCATGATTTTCGACGATCGTTTATCAATTGCGTCGTTCCCTTTCGTTGCGGAGTAATCTTCTCGTTTGCTTAAGAGCAAGATAACAAAATTGGGGTAAGACGTAAGGCAGGGATTAAACAATCTGGGTTAGAATACTGATACATTTTCTGACGCTAGTGGCCTGAAATAAATGTGGTTTCATTTTAACGATTACTTTAGGGTACTGGATATATTACTCACCACACGAAACGCAAAGGGACATTTTTTAGGACATTTTAGGATATATTCTTTATACACAACGTTCTCTAGTCCCAACCTAAGCAATACTTGTACTATGGGTACTAGAAAACTGATAGACATACTTAAACATACTTTTCATTTGTAAAAAAATACACATTATACATATATACATATAAACACCCAGACACTAGAAAAACACTATGCTCATTACACAATATTTTTCCAGTAGTGGGGATCGAACCCACACCCTCTGGCGCAGAAGGCAGGTACACTACCGACTACGCCATTCGTGTCGTCACGGCCACGATGGTAGGGCCACGCAGCAGCCTCGGCTGTTGCACGAATGGGCAGGCTCGTCCGGGTAGCTACCATGACCTCACAGAAGACCGGCGTAAGGTGGAAGTATAATACTTTCGCATTTCGTCTGGTGAGTCAGGTGGCCGGAGCCCAATTTTCAAAAGGTTGTCAACGCATCTGAAACACTCGGGTTTAGCAGATGTCCATAGGCGGCGATATTCACTTAACTTCAGGTGAACCGTTTGCTCGCTTGGCAACGTTCACATTAAAAACTTCTCCGTGTTGCGAGGCCCTACAACGTTAAATTATTAGTAAAGTATTTCGCACAATTTTTCCAAATACTCTATTAATAGTGAAACGGGTTAAAGAGTATTTTAATAAAAATTTGCTTATTCTTTTCTCGAAGACATTACCATAATATTTAATGTACAATATATAATAAATAATAGTTTAGATAGAACCAGACGCACAACATATAATAGTAAGAGTTAAGATAGATCCATAAAATATCACAAATCAATGATATAACAACCTAAACTGCGAAAAAAGTTTAAGCATCTTAATAACCATATTTTATGTCGCCAGCCTAGTCAAACGTAAGATTAAAAACGTGGTCTGCATCTCCAAATACTATGTACGACGAATATAATAGCATATTGTCATTTATTACATATTTTATACAAGATCACAAGAACAGGGCGACTATTTGATTATTCAAATATATTTATATATATTTTGATTTTAAATTTGCGTGTGAATATTAATCATTGAGTTAAATTGAATAGTTCTTCAATAAAAATTTTGAATATTTTGAATGGGATATCATGGGAAATTACGATATAGAGATGAGATACTTGAAGAGTAATTTGTTCTACTTACAGATAATAACTAAGAAAAAATACACAATAGTCGAAAATAAAGGTTCGGTGAAATAATAAAACATATACAGATAAGAAGCTTCCAATAAATTTGTTACAAAAGTGGTCGAGGGTATCCAAAGTTTCAGGCGTCGAGATATCCTAAGGATCACCCAAAATGAAATGATTATCTATTATACCTACCGACTAACTCTACTTGTTTTGTTGCTGAAGAGATAGTTTATTTTTTGCAAAATAACTTGCTTTCAGATTTGTTCGCGTAAAATTATGCCTATTACATTTAAATTTGGTAATTTAAGTAAAGACGTTTTAAGTTGTTGAACACTGATATGCTAGTTTCTTTTTTTATTAACTTGAAAACTTGAAATTTAACAAAAAATTATGCTAATTTCGCATGTTTCACTAAATGTTTACAACTTACGAATAATATTTTCCTTTCCTTAAATCTCAATGTGTGGTTTAGTCTCAATCAGCAGGTTGTATTAAATTACAGATAAGTACCTAAATGATGTCCATAACTTAATGGTTTTAATAGTTTTTCCTTTTATGATAATAACAATAGCTTAAATACAACTTATAAGATCATCTATCTGCAACTAAAAGTCCCGTTAAAATTGGTCCAGCCGTTTCTGAGATTAGTCAGGGCA